TAAGGGAAATTTCCGTGATATTGGGTAGATTATACACAGACGGGGAACGGCACTTTGGATACTTAGCTGCTGTATTTTCGCCTTGATTGTGCTTTTCTGGGACTTTTTCGCTCTCTTTCCTCCTTTTTCACTTTCTGGTTTGCTTGATGATAGCTGATTTTCCGCTTTTTTCTGCTCGCAGTTGCTTGCACAAGTCGAAAAAAGTCAAGGTGTGAAACTACCGATGTGCTAGAATTCAATCCTCCACAGAACGGGATTGCCTCGGGCCGTTCCGTGCTCCCCAACAACTGCCTGTCGCCAAAGTCGACGTGGCTGTATTGCGCCATCGTGAATGCGTCCATCGAATTAATTTATAAAGAAGGCTTGTCGAAAAAAAAAGTCAGGGAAAAGGCTAGAAGTCGGCGTTATTGTATTAATATATATACTGCAGGTCGCAATGACGGGTGGGGGTAAAGCACATTGGAGTGTAAATGGTGGTACAGATCCTTCTTCTCGCGATCGGATTGCTTTTATCAACGGTGTAGCACATGCCCCTTGATTTCAAGTCTGGACCCAAAGAAAAGTTAGTCGGGGAAAGGCTAAAAGTCGGCGTTATTGTATCAATCTGCAAGCCGCACTGACAAGTAGGAAGGGAGGGGTACCGTTGGCGGCTGGGCTCAGGTCTGTATTTGGTAAGAGAAGTTGATTTCCGAGGGGTGTTTGGGGGAACTGGCACCGCTTCTTCACGAATTCTGAGTGCGTGACAATATGAAATGAAAACTAATAGCTGCCTGTAGGCATGGGTGACAACGCGTATGTTTTCCGTGAATAAACAGCTGGTTTCAGTACTGTTTCAGTATTTCTTCTTGAAAGTCATACGAAAACTTAACGAAAACCTCTTTGCATATCCACATAAGTATTCATATTGATTGTTTGGAAAGTCTGTAGCCGTAGATTGGACTTTCATATGTTTTCTGCGAAAGAAAACACTTGGAAAACACTTTATTTCCATTATACGAAGTATATTGAACGATATCTTTGGAACTTGAAGTCATAACTCATGGTGTGGTCATGTGATGTTACCACCCTGTTTTTGGCCACGTCCGTCGTCGATTGTATTTTCTTATGTCTCTCTCAACACCCTCGATTTGAATGAGCAAAAGCCCTCGCACCAAGCATGGCCTGATTTCAGTTAGAGTGTGTTGTTTCCACCGTTCTTTTCACTAATCTCACACGTAAATTTCTAGGTACTACTTTCTTTGATATTCAGAAGCTGCGGCG